ACCCAAGCAGGCCCCTTGCAGACTCACCGCACTTTCCCCTTCCCCCCCCTGCCCTGAGCCAGTGTACAGACCGCTCTTGTGAAGCTTCTGAGGGTTTTTACTGCTCCTGACACAGGGGAACAGAAGGGGGAAGGAAATAAACAAGGAAGTTACACAGTTTCGTGCTGACTCCCGAGCCCCACAGGTGGAGCTCTAGCCAGCTCAGTAGCCGAAGAGCCCGTGCCAACACACACACACGCACGCACACACACACACACACACACACACACGCACATGCGCATGCTCACCGTCCACACCTCTGTTTTGTTAGGCTTGGTAACAGCAGGACAATGACTCCTAAGTGAGGGGAGCTGTGGGGCCATATAAAGGGCCCTGGTTTTGGATTTATACAGATCTAGGTTTAAGCCTCAGTTCCCTTATCTATAAAAACAGGTCATTTTTTCAAGGTCATTGTAAGGATTAAAGCAGATGATGGTTAGGGCAGCATGAGACCCAGTTCCCGTCTCAGAGAAGAGCATGTGTTGAGTTGGTGCTATTGGTGAGAAAGACTGGTGTGCCTGCTGCTTAACGGAAATGCCCTCTATCCTACCTGCCCCTTTCTTTCTCGCCTGCTCCCCAGGAGGCCTCTTCCTGACCGATTACTCCACCTGCTCACCCCGCAAGCTGAGTCCTTTCCGCTCCTTTGCCAGCACCGAACTCTTCCACTTCCATGTTCCTGAGGACACATTCCTGGCTGTTTGGAACCTCATCATCTTCAAGGAGCAGGGGGGATCCTTTGGGGACCACTGCCCAGACCAAAGTGTGACTGTGTGAGTGTCTGAGTTGACCTCCTGACCCTCACTTCTAACCCCAGACCGCTTTCCAAACGAAAGTGTGACTTTATGAGTATCTAAACTGACCCCTGGCCCCTGACGCCCTGACCCTGGTTGAGGTTGCAGTATGACTGAGTGAGGGCCAAGACCTCTGTTTCATGATTACTTCGAGACCAAAGTGTGACTGTGTGAGTGCCTGAGCCGACCTTTTACCCCTCTGTGCCGACCCCTACCTGGATCCACTTTGTTGTATGTGTCAGTATAGGGAATCTACTTATTTGCTGGTGATGAGTGACTGTTCTCCTTTCTTTTCCCCATTTCTCATCTCCCACCTCATTGCCTGCTTTCTTCCTCTCCTTATTCTGGTCCCCAGGTATTTCCGGTCTGGGGCACCCCCTGTCATCAATCCCCTGCACACACACTTCCCAGGGGACACGGCCGTGCCTGGGGTTTTCTCACTGACCCTCAGCTGGACACTGCCCAACCGCACGTCAGGCATCTTTAACGTCAGCAGCCCCTTACCTGGGGACTGGTTCTTGGCTGCCCACCTTCCCCAGGCCCACGGCCACATCTCTGTCAAGGTGGGTTGATGTTGTCTAGGGCAGGAGAGGTCAGAGCTGCTTCTCCATCTCTGCTGAATTCCCCTCATGGTTACCTGGGACACAAGCCTTGTACCAGGATGGGGAACTGCATGAGGGTGGCTGGGATGGACCCTAGTTAGAGGCCAGCAGGTCACTTGGTGGGTCAAGACCTATATGAGGCAATTTGGGAACCTTAGGAGGACATGGTGGGTCCATGTAAGCTGAAAGGAAAGTTCAGAGTCTGCAGTCAGCCAGAGGCCCCGGCACTGCAGAGTAGTGTCCCTTCCTGTTGGAAGCTACAAGGGTTAATCGAGGTGATCAGAAGCCACTAGGGACAAGTCAAATGCTGCTGCGCAAACCCAAGCTAGCCCTGCTGACTCTTGTAGGCTACAGCCCAGTCAGTCCATCTGGGAGAATGCATTCCTCTCCTATCATGATTTCAGCTCCCTACACCCTCTGGAAGACAATGAAAGAACACTCTGGGGCAGGGAGGACCTTCCTGTTAAAAGGAGGCTTTGGGCAGCTGGTGTCCATCCAGACTGTTGCCTACCTTTCCTCCAGATATCTGTACTGATTTCATAGAGCAGAGGTGGTTAACATCTGAAGTGTATGTACAAAGGTCAGAATGCTTTTCCCAGCCGGTTTGGAGGGAAAGGAAATGCCACAAAGGTTTTCTGCCACTCCCGGGTGTTGGGCAGACTTTCTCCTTGTAGTGATAGGATCTATAGTTTTCTTACTCCTGTCGGCGGGAAGGAAGGGCGTGATAAGCTGGTCATTGTCAAGAGTGGGATGGCCAAGTGTTGTGGGCCAGTGGTAAGGACTGAGCACGAGCAGAGAGAGGACTTAAAGAACAGGATGCTAAAGAACATGAATGCTATCAGGGTTTGGCCATTGAGAATTGAGAGGGACATAAATTCCCAATCAGGTGAAGATTTGATCTGGAGATCTCTCTCCAGGCTGAGTTCCTTGCCAGGAGGAGCTCTGTGGCTGTGGTAGACTCACCTCTCTTCCTCCTACTGTAGCTGAATGAGCTGAGAATCCCACAGGGACATGTGTACTGGTACTGCTGTTTTCAGAATGGGAACTAGGGCGGATGGAATGTCTGGAGGCCTCAGTGATAGGCTGTTTTTCCTGAGAGGGATCACAAGAGAACTTGCTGTCAAAGTCTGGGAGCCCTCTGGATGAAACCATGTTGGGCGCTTATCTGGGTTCTAGGTAGGTCTTGACTCCTATCAGAACTAAGGGTTATTCTATTTGGAGGACTGTCTTAGGTCTTTGGTCAAATTCCAAAGAGCCAGTTCCTGATGCTAACTCTGATCCTGGACTCTCTTTGTGAGGACTGGCAGGGAAAATCTTTCTGAAGCTCTGCTCTGGTTACCCAAAAACTTTTCTGGGTGGTCAGGAGCAAATAGGGACCTAGGCCTGGGTTGATATTATGGGAGCTGAAGCCTAGTTGGGAGAGGTCAGAACCAGGTTTGGTTGACATACCCATTTGCAACTAGATATAGCAAGAGGGGTGTGGGGGACTTGGTACTGCAAGCTGGAGCCCTAGCAGCAGAGCTCCCTGCAGTGTGGTGAGACTAGAGAGAAGAGGGCACAGTTACACCTTGCCCATGAATGTCAGCAGACCTGGACACCATGATAGATGTAGCTCTTCAGTTAGGCCTGTTCTAGAGGTTCAAGGGGTGAGGATGGGGAAGAAAGGGTCATCTTTGTAGTCCCTCTGAGAATTTGACTACCTTTAGGAATCTTAAATGGGCTTCTAAGGATTCTTTAAGTTTTTTGGTTAATTCCCTAGATTCTAGCCTGTGGGTGGATTATCCAGAACATTTCTCCAGGGCTCCATCTTCTCAAATTGCTTTTTCCTTATTCCAGGTCTTGACTTCCTGTGAGGCTTGGCCAACACAGGAAGTATTGTGGGTTCAGGGATATCCTTGGGTGGGGACTGAAAAGTCCTAGCAATAAGAAGGCAGGACTGTTTCTAGGGCCCTCCGTAGTTTTGGGGGTAAGCTCAGACCTTCCTTTAGACCTTAGTCCTTGAGTACCTGCTTTGTCCCAGGCCTTGGGTTGAGTGCTAGGGACACAAATAAATAAGACGTATGGTAGTGAGATATAAGAGGTGTTTTTTTTTTGTTTTTTTTTAAAAATATATTTTATTGATTTTTTACAGAGAAGAAGGGAGAGGGATAGAAAGTCAGAAACATCGATGAGAGAGATCGATCAGCTGCCTCCTGCACGCCCCCCAGTGGGGACGTGCCCGCAACCACGGTACATGCCCTTGACCGGAATCGAACCCGGGACCCTTGAGTCCGCAGGCCGACGCTCTATCCACTGAGCCAAACCGGTTCGGCATAAGAGGTGTTTTGAGAGGACAAAGGAGAGATGGCTAACTCAGCTTGTAGAGGTGGTCTTAGGAAACTGTTAGAAGGTGAGGCCTGAAGTTGAGAAGGCAAGGAAAGGCATTGCAGGGTAGGTGTAGCATGGGCTAAAGCTTGAGAACTGTAGTGGTTCAGTGTGGGGTGGTTGTTGGGATGGGTAAGGGAGTGGGAGGGGCGAGCAGAGGCCAGATCATGAAGGATCTAGAACAGCCGTGGGCAAACTACGGCCCACGGGCCGGATCCGGCCAGTTTGAAATGAATAAAACTAAAAAAAAAAAAAGACCGTACCCTTTTATGTAATGATGTTTACTTTGAATTTATATTAGTTCACACAAACACTCTATCCATGCTTTTGTTCCGGCCCTCCGGTCCAGTTTAAGAACCCATTGTGGCCCTCGAGTCAAAAAGTTTGCCCACCCCTGATCTAGAAGTTTGAACTTTATCCTGAGAGTGATAGAAAACCTTAGGAGGTTGTTAAAGGGAAGTGACTTATCTGGTCCAGGCCACTGTCCTGAGCTCTGGTCCCACACTTCTGCTAGCCAATATGTCTGTGTTATTCACCACTGTATTCCCAGCACACAGCACAGAGCCTGGCACATCGTGGGGGTGTGGCAAATTTTTGTTGCCCTTCTGCCATCTTCTCAACTGATCTCACTTCTCCTTTCCTCTCCTCTTTCTATCAACGTCTTCCATCTTGACCCATGCCCTCCATCTCCTTGCCTTTCCTGTCTCGGAACATGTGTTCATCCTGTGATGTCCAGCTGCCAGTCTGCCCTAAAGGGCTGGCCTTTGAACTGTGGGTAACATCTGGCACCCAAATGGCTCATTATGGGCAAGTTCTCCAAAATATCTGGGGCACAGTTCTCCTTGAATGCTTCCTCTCCCCAGTCTAAGATTTGAAAGTAACTGACAGCAGGTAAAATAATGAAAACCACGATAAGGAAACCAAATAAGCAGATTGTAAAGAAGAAAGGATTTGGTTGAATCCATCAACTAGGATGAAACATGGCTCAGTATCTCAACTGAAGAGGTTAAAACCTGCTAACAGCGCTCATTATGCTCTTCCTCCTCCTCAATTATTTTGTTTGTGTTTTGAATAGGTAATAAATGCACCTGGTACAACATTCGAAAGGTACAAAAGGCAGTGAAAAGTAAGTCTTCCTTTTCCCTTGCCTCCCTTACAGTTCCCACTTCCCCTCTCCAGAGTTAACTAGTAACTAGCTGTTAATAAGTTCCTTATATCACTCTTCCCTTCTTGAAGGACCCTTCTCTTGGCCTTTACAGAACTCTCCTGGTTTTCCTCCTGCCCACTGCCCACTCCTTCTCTGCCTCCCTTTCCTGGTGTCTTCTCTGCTTGATCAAACATATTGTGGGGCTTCAATGCTCGGTCCTGGGACAGCTCCTTTCTTATTTATCTATTCTCTTATTAGGTATCTCCAGCACAATAGTTTTAAGTACCACTTATAAGTTATAACTTATAACCTATAAGTTAATGCCTTCCAAGGGTATTCAGTGAGTCCTAATTTCTTTGAATCTCAGACTTTATATCCACCTGCTTACTTGACATCTTCGATTAGATATCTAAGAAATGTCTCAGATTAGCCTGTACAAATTAAAACAAAGCCAAAAGCAAAAATCTCTCCAGTTCCCATTTCACTTCTCCCAGTCCAAGTCTTTTCTTTCTTTCGTCTTCTCAGTAAATGGCACTGCCATTCACTGATTGCTCAAGCTCCAAATTTAGATGTCATACTTGATTCTTCTTCCCCCCTCACTTTCCTACAATCAGTTCATAAAGAAAAGTCTCATTGACTCTATTTCTAAAAGCATGTCCTTTATGCATCTACTTCTATTCCCACTCTTAGCACACCTGCCCTCAGCTTTCTCCTGGGCCACCACAGTAACCTTTGAAGTGGTTTCCCTGCTTCCACTCTTGTCCCCTGTAGTCTGTCCAACACTCATTTATGTACATGTTGATTACTGCTGACCAACGGTGGGTCAGGGACTGACATGTAGTGGGTACTGGGATATTCTCACGAAGAAGGCCAGGTGGTTTTGGGGCATCTTCAGCCTGCAAGCCTCATCCAGGGCCTGGGACTGGCCACCCTGCTTAGGCCTTTCTAAAGAAGCCCGGCCCAGCCATACTAGGACAGTCGCAGAATCAATCTAGGGTGTTCTGTTCCTGCTTCTTTCAGACTGTTTCCCGCACCACTTCTCACTTTGCCCCTCTTGGTTTCCCAAGTTTCCAGGCTTTGACCCTCTTCCTTCCATGACCGCTGATGTTGACTCAGTTTGGACTCTCACTTGGCTTTTGCCTTGGCTGGTCTTGAGGACTTTCATTCTGGTGCCCTTTCATTGGCCCCATCACAGGGTGAAGGTCGCTGAATCTCTGCACCTTCCCTGGTCTCCACTGAGTGCGCCTCTCTACAGTAAGAAGGGCTATTGGATGTGCGCCTTATACAGGAAGGAGCACATCTTAACCACTGAGGTATGCCCACTGATCCTTCGGTTAACCACTAGCAAGCAATATATGGAGTTTTTCTTTCCCCAAACTGTCCAAGAAGGAAACGGGCCCCCTCCCGAGCATGGGCGCCCGCCCTTGGGGATCATTCACCACAAGATGGCTGTGGGTGATTCCTGTTGTGGGAAGTGGGGTTGATGAAATGACTTGTGCTAGTAGTTCTGGTCCTTAGGGTTTGATATCAAAGATGATATCAGAGATTGCGGTCCCTGAGAAATGAGGGGATTAGGAGTTCTCTGAAGGTACACTCCTTTTTTTTTTTTTTTTTTTTAGGTATACTCTTTTTGATATCCACTCTTTAACTCAGCAGATACTCTTTTTAGCATCTAGTGTTTGCCAGGTGGTGTGCTAGGCATTGGGGATGCAGTGATGCAAAAATCACAGGGAAATTCCAGGCAGAGGGTGATGGGACTTTCTGGCCTTGCATCCTTCAAGGCCGCCTTCCAGCTTTCCTGGAACTCAGTGGCATGTCAGAGCCTGGAACTTTTGCAGAACAGGTTTAGAGCTATGTCTCGGTCAGAATAAACACATAAGTGAACAGTGGCCTCTAGTTTATTGGGCCGCACAAGGTCCTCTAATCTCAGAAGATCAGAGAACCCTAATCGGGAGGCCCCTCCTCCCCTGAACTGCACCACTTGCAGGGCTAAGATGCTGCAAATGCTGCAGAGAAGGAACTGGAGTCAATGGGACTGTCCGCTGAAGCTGTGTGGGTTAGGGGTGGTGTCAACTGAGAAGGGCTAGGGGTCTGATCCAGAGGAGCAGGGAGATGTGGCTGTGCTCCAGCCTGAGCAGAAGGAGCAGATGTACCGGTGGGCCCCTTGAGACAGAGCAGTGGGAGGGGAGACAGAAGGCAGGCTCTGGCTTCATAAACGTCAGAGCTGCCCTCAGCTGTGTTGATTCATTCCTTCGTTGATTCCGGCAAACTCATCTGTGAGGCATACACTTTATAGTGGGCTCTGTGTCTGGAGGGACAAAAGTAAGACCAGGTTTCTCTTCTCAAGATGCGTACAGTCTGGAGGTTGCCTGGGAGGTAAAGAGTGGCGCTTCCCTGGGGGTATTAGAGCAGAGCATGGACAGGTGGGAAGGGCAGGTGGGGAATGAAGGAAATTGGACTCACATTGTGGGGGGGGGGGAGGAGGTTTGGCTCGGAGGCCGTTATGCAGCTTTACAGTGCCCCAGAGCCAGTGTTGCAAGGTCCTGAGGGTTTGGTGAGGGGTTGGGGTGGTTTGAAATGGCCTTGAGGGGCTGTTCAGGAATGCTCAGGAGGAGGGGCTAGGTTGCAGGCGGAGCAGGCTGGGCCCGATTGTCAGAAGGGCCTGGTTTTGAATCCCAAACTTCAGCCAAGGCTGAGGATCACAGCAGATCCTGCAGATCCAGGAGGGACAGAGCTAATCCAGCAGGAAGGACCCAGAACTTAGGCCTCAGTCACTGCCCTGGGAGCAAGAGGCCAGAGGAGGTGTCTCCCTCCCCCTCCCTCCCAGTGGCCATTTCTGTTCACCTTGCTTTAGCAGCACCCTTGCTGTCTCTCCCCTCCTACCACCCCTGCTTTTGTCTTAGGGTCTCCAGGATGAGTGTCAGTACCTCCTTCAGCCGCAGCTGATTGTCCGGCGTTTACTGGACGTTGCTGTGCTGGTGCCTGGCCGTCCCTCAGAGCAAACCCTCTCCCCCCACAATCGCTCAGCCCTATACAAGTAAGTTGAATCCCCACCCCCCAAACCTAGCCCTTTCCTTCTTCCCTCCCTGACCTCAAATAGGGAACAGGGTTTTCTTGGCCTTTAAGCTCATCTGCCTGTTCCTGCTGTCCCTCTGGCCACCCTGGACTGCTGGGCCACCCAGAGCCCCCAGGGTGGGTTGGACTCCTGCCTCCCTCTCCTCCAGCACAGAGAGGAGGACCTGAAAAGGCCTCCCATTCTCGTGTCCCTAACTCCTCCTTGCCCCCTTCTTCCTAGTGTTTCCCTCATTCTGGTGTCCCTCTCACCTTTCTTACCCCCAAACTCTCCTCTGCCCAGGGTCTTTGTGCCCAGCTTCACTTACAGGGTTTCAGCACAGTTGGTGTGTGTGGGGGGCCGAGGGGCATCCGCCTGCCCCCTGACACTTCGCCTACGTCCCAAGGCCCCACCCCTGCACAACTCAAGCTCTGTGGCATGTGGAGGTGCCTCGGTATGCCAGCTGGAGCTAGCGCTGCCCCCCTGGGGGCGCTGGGTCTACGTGCGTGTGGAGACACCGTCCCGGGGCTCTGGCAGGACCATCCGCTTCCAGCTGTGTGTGCGGTTGCAAGGTCAGAAGCCCACATCTGCCCCAGCCACCCAGCTTGTGTTGACATCGGTGACTGGGAAGAGGCATGCCTGGTGGCCGTGACCATTGCCCCTCTGCCGTGTCCCTACAATCTCCCTGACCCCACCCAGGCTCCTTCACACTCCCTGAAGCCCTTCCACTTGGAGCCTGAAGTCATCGGAAAGCGTTCAGATCATTTTCCCACCACTTGGGGCCCACTAAGGGACCTGATTACTCTCCTTAATTTAATCTCTCTTTCAGTTTCCTGAGTAGGCAGGGACAGCTAGGACCTCTGGGACACCGGCCTTGCAAAAGCCCATGCAAGTCAGTGAGAGGGCAGTCATCTGTTCCAACATGTCCTTTGGGAGGGAGAGATGACCTCGATTCCCTCCAACATGACATTCTATTAGCTGTGACCAGTAGGAAATCCCGGGGCCCTATCCTGTGACCCTGGATGCCCCATACTCCCAAGGGACATTTGATTCTAGTTCTCACCCCTCCCACCCTTTGCTAAATCCTGTCTGGCTCAGATCTGGTTTGTGGGGCTGAAGGGCTGTGAGGGTGGCAGGCCTCAGCTCTGATCTCCTTTACTCCACAGAGTGCCCGAAGCCCAACCTGTCTCGGGCCCTGGCCCCTGGAGCTGCCATGAACATGCCCCAGTCACTGGGCAACCAACCATTGCCCCTAGAGCCGCCATCCCTTGGTGCCCCCGTGGAAGGGCCTGGGGCCACATCTCCACCTGAGCACTGCTGGCCAGTGCGCCCGACTCTGCGCAATGAGCTGGACACCTTCTCCGTCCACTTCTACATCTTCTTTGGCCCCAGTGTGGCCCTCCCCCCTGAGCGCCCTGCTGTGTTTGGCCTGAGGCTGCTGCCGGTGCTGGACAGTGGAGGTGTCCTTAGCCTGGAGCTCCATCTCAATGCGGTACTTTGTGGAGAGGGGGAGGTTGCCCCTGTGGGGGAACTTGAAAAAGAGAGTGACAGGTGTGGAAGACTATGCAGGTCGCTTTCACCCAACTTTAAGATTAGAGACCATGTCAGCCCAATTCTGGTCAACAAACATGCCCTGGGTATTGACTCTACTGCGAATGGGCAATTCAGAATGGTCTAGATTTCCCCAGTTTTGTAGCTGAACCGCCCACTGACTAAGGGCCTCTCTCTATGGCAGGCGTTCACTTATCTCCTGTGATGGGACGTTCACCTACAGAGGCCATGTTTAGACAGCTCCCGTTGCTAATGGCAGTCTTGACATTCCATACAAACCTACCTCTGTGGATTTTTATGATCTGATCTTTGTTTTTCCCCAGAAGCTGTATTTCAGTGAATCTATCCCAGTCCTTTTTTAAAAAAGTTAATAGACTTGATTTTTTCAGAGCAGCGTTATAGAAAAATTGAGTGGAAAGTACAGAGAGTTTCCATGTCCCCTCTCTTACCCCAGATAGTCTCCCCAATTATTCACATCTTGTATTAGTGTGGTGCATTTGTTATATCCCTGTCCTATTTTAGCAGCCCTTCAGATGCCCCTCAACCTTCTCAAAGCTGAAAAATATCAGCATCTTAGAGCTTTCCCCAACCTCTGCTGTCTCCTTTGGTCAAACATCTGGTCAGCATGTCTCTGTAATAAATGGTCTGAAGTGGTCTGACCATGGTGTGTGTGCAGCCTGTGATTATATCACCTCTTTCTGCTCCTGCATCACACCGATCACCTGCAGTTTGGGGTGAATAAAGATCTCTGGGTCTTTTTCCTTTCCTTCCTTTTTATTTTCTTCAAAAACAATTTTATTCATTTACTTTTTAATTATAGAAATAACAGAATCACAGGTAAATCTTTGGAAAATAGAGGAAGACATCCTCATAAAACAGCTGCTTAGTCTTTGGTGTCTATCTTCCCAGTCCCTTTCCATATTAACTTCTTATGTACCTAATTGTAACCAAGGGACATACGTATTTTGTGCCCTGCGCCTGGTTCATGTGACCTGCTGCCAATTCCCAGCTCATATTTTTGTAGTGAACTTTTTAACCCCAATGGAAGAATTTATGTTCATCTTTGAGGCATTGCCTAAAGACACTGGTTTGGGTCTTGGGCTTTCTCCACTATGGTAATTCACATACTTGAAAAGCCAGCCTTCTGTACCTCTTAGTCATTATTTTCAGCATTGGGTAAGACTGGGCTGAGGGCAGAGTCCTGTGTCAGGCCATTAGCAACTCTCTTCGGTTAGCATTGATCCAGTAGGATCCCTCAGCCAGGGATCCTTTTAATTCTACCATCCCCCAGCTCTGGGGCAGGGGCCGTTTTCCTATGCACCGACCTGAGATCTGGTCTGTGGCTCGATGCGGTCTTTTATGGTACATGGCTCAGAACTTTCAAGTGCTCCTGCTGGTCAGGACAAAGCTGATTCTTCAACTTGAAGATGCTCCTTATTTTTATACCCAAATTCTGTTTGACTCTGTTCTGGCTAAACACTGTACGTTGTGTTTGCTATTGCCATGCCTTTGGGCAATGACAGTGAAGTCTTGGTTTGACCTTGATGCTGTAGAACCCATATCCGAGGCCAGCCGCCCCCATACTTGTTCTTCCTCAGTATCATGAGAGTAGAGGCCCAGTCCTGGGCAGCCCCTTACCCTGTCCCTCTCTGCATTCTTGTCCATTTACTCTAAGGGGCATCTATCTGCTTACATTCTACCTCTCTGCATGCTATGGCCCTTGCTGCACACCTCAGATAGCTGTTGTATTTATTCTGAAAGGAATCTTGGCACATCTACTCTGATCTTTCCAAGTACTTTGTCTTTTCCCCCCTTGGATCAAGAACTGGTCATTTGGACCAGAGAACTGTATACTTAGAGAACATTTATATCTTTGGCTCCCTGCCCCCCGAGAAAGACTTTTATTGAACAATACTTTGGCATATTGCCCAGAGCTTGCATGGAGGAAAGTTGTGAGCAAGTTGTATGAAATTCAGTCAGTAGAGGACAGGATGCATAACAGCACACATGCTTCTTTGATGAGGACTTACCTGAGAACTTCTGGATGCTGTACTTCTGTGCCTCTGATTAACCTTTATCTGATAGACTTAGAAATCTGATCACTCATCATGTTTCCTTCTTTGCTTTGGTTGCTTGGGAAGTCAGCATCAAATATGTGACCCACATTTAGGAGCAAATTTTATTGTTCTCTCCTGAGTTTTCAATTTCCCTCATGCATTTATTTTTTTTATTATTTTTTAAAAATATATTTTATTGATTTTTTACAGAGAGGAAGGGAGAGAGATAGAGAGCTAGAAACATCGATGAGCGAGAAACATTGATCAGCTGCCTCCTGCACATCTCCCACTGGGGATGTGCCCGCAACCCAGGCACATACATGCCCCTGACCGGAATCGAACCTGGGACCCTTCAGTCCGCAGGCCGACGCTCTATCCATTGAGCCAAACCGGTTTTGGCCCATGCATTTATTTTATCTTATATGTTATTTAATAAGCTGCCTCAAATCCTTCTGGAGGTGAGCTTATGGCAACCTGCTACCTTTATTCCTTTAGACAACCCTTTACATTTACTCCTGTGGATATCCGGTTTCTTTAAATCCCAGCCAGGCTGCTACATTTAATCCCTCAGGCATTCTGTTACCACCGTGAGTACCTGATCATTTCACCGGAGGAAGAGTACATTTCTTTACATGCCTCCTGCCCTCAGACTCCAGTGAAGAGTGAAGATGATTGAAAACCTTTCAGTTACCTTTGCTCACAACTAGTTTCTATACCCAGCAACAGCACCTCTTCCCTTCCCCGCAACAAGCTAGATAAGATTGAAAAAAGGGGGTCTTCTCTTTAGCCTGAACAGTTTAAAAAATTCTGCCCAAAGGATTCAGAATTGGGCCTTGCCTTTTCACCAGTCTTTGAGGCATCTCTGATGTGGGGGATTTGGTGTCTGCCAAGGTTCTGTGTTCTAAAAAGGGAGGAGGGATTGGCTTTGGTGTTGAGCACCTGCAGGAATGTGAGGTCCCTGGAGGAGTTTGGAGTCTGGGGTGGCGGTGGTGGTAGGACCTGGTGGGTGGGACACCTTCATCTTCACTCCGCCCTCCCCAGAGCTCCCTGCGCCAGGAAAATGTGACCGTGTTTGGATGCCTGACTCACGAGGTGCCTTTGAGCCTGGGGGATGCAGCAGTGACTTGTTCCAAAGGTGAGGATGAGGAAGCGGGAGGGAGAGAAGGCTGGTAGTCCCGAGCAGGGGGCGGGCCTGGGGTGGGGGGTGGCGTGGAGGAAGGATGGGCCAGGGTCTCGGGGAAGCGGGCCGGCGCAGGTGAGTGAGGATTCTTTACCTTTCTCTCCTGGCCCCCGACCCTCTGCCCCCAGAGTCCCTTGCTGGCTTCCTCCTCTCAGTCAGCGCCGCGTCCAGAGTGGCCAGGCTGCGAATCCCGTTCCCACAGACCGGGACGTGGTTCCTGACCCTCCGCTCCCTGTGCGGGGCCGGGCCTCGGTGAGTGGCCGGCGGGGCGGGGCGGGGCGGGGCGGGAGGTGGCGCCGAGCCGCGGTGACCCCCAGTGTGTGCACAGGTTTGTGCGGTGCCGGAACGCCACTGCCGAGGTGCGGCTGCGCACCTTCCTGTCCCCGTGTGTGGACGACTGCGGGCCCTACGGCCAGTGCAAGCTGCTGCGCACGCACAACTACCTGTACGCGGCCTGCGAGTGCAAGGCCGGTGAGCGCTGGGGCGGCCGGGAGCCTGCGACGGGAGGGGCGGCCACCGGCACCGAGGCTGGGTGTGGAGAGGACGGGAGGGCGGTGCTGGGTGAGACCACCCTCCCGGGGCAGTGGCACAGGGCTTAGCTAGAGGCCCCCAGCAGAAGGGTCCGCTGGCCTCACGACTGCCTCCTGTCCCCACCCTGTGCCTTCCCGCCCGCCCGCCCGCAGGGTGGCGGGGCTGGGGCTGCACCGACAGCGCGGATGCGCTCACCTACGGGTTCCAGCTGCTGTCCACACTCCTGCTCTGCCTGAGCAACCTCATGTTTTTGCCACCCGTGGTCCTGGCCATTCGGAGCCGGTATGTTCTGGAAGCTGCTGTCTACACCTTCACCATGTTCTTCTCCACGGTATGTGATGGCGTCAGTGTCTTCACCGAGTCCTTATCCATGTGGTGGGTGAGGTTCTGCATTTCCCCGTGTTCTCCACTGGTTTGGGATGTCTGTGCCTTTATAATATGAGGATGTCTCCAATTCACTGCCTTCTATAGCAGCGCGCCATCTCAGGGCATGCATAGAATACGGTCATTTTTGTAAGGCCCATTGGGGTCAATGAACATCCTGTTGGCAACTTAAAATAACCAACTGCCAGCCACTGCAGACTTTCTGGGTCTCTAGTTGTCTCACGCCCTGCCTGCCCACCCCGAGGGCCTGGGACCTTAACCTCAATACGCTGGCTGGCCCCGTAAGTCTGCTCTGCAGTGTGAGATTGTGCCTTCCCCGGGAGAGGTCTGCATGGGGCAGGAGACCTGCACTTTCACCTGTGTTTCTACATGGAAAGTCATCTGTTTCATCACGTTCTTTCATGATGTGAGGGCTAGCAACACAGTGTTCGTGTTGTGCATCACACTGGGGATTTCCACAACCTCAGAACATTCTTTTTTATGGTCTGAAAAGCTATCTCCCCATTTAGTAGCCATGTCATCCTTGAATTATCATGGGAACTTTAGGAAGGAAGGGGGATCTATAATTGGGTAATTGATAGAAACCTCTGGCTATTAGAATCCTAAGAAACTTTACTGATTCAACTATGTTCTGAGGCCTCATGGGAAATGGCAATGTCATATAAAATTCCAGCCCAAAGGAGCATATTTTGATGAAGATTAATTTAGTTGTAAACCCATCTCCTCCCATTATAGAATCTCCACAGTCTCTTCTCTGTGCCTTCCCATTCTGTCATAATCATAAACATTCATATTACAAGCGTGCATCACAGATATTCTAAGGAAAGGTAGAGGAGTGAGTCTGCTAATGTGACTTAACCTCCATGTAGACTCCCTCCCCTCCACCAAGTTCTGCATCTAGGGACCTTTTCATCTCATCTCTGGGCTCTTGGTGTCTTGTGGCATACAGTGCATGCCTATGAGCGCTACAAAAAAAGTCTTAGATGGACTCAGACTCTCCTCATGTCTTGGCAGCAAAGATATCACAATAGCCGAAACCGGTTTGGCTCAGTGGGTAGAGCTTTGGCCTGCGGACTGAAGGGTCCCGGGTTCGATTCCGGCCAAGGGCATGTACCTGGGTTGCGGGCACATCCCCAGTAGGAGATGTGCAGGAGGCAGCTGATTGATGTTTCTCTCTCATCAATGTTTCTAACTCTCTCTCTCCCTTCCTCTCTGTAAAAAATCAATAAAATATATATATATAAAAAGATATCACAATAACCAATAAGTGCATCTCTTTTGTTCAACATTATAGATCAGACATAGGTCCAAATTAAAAAAAATAATGTATACTGCCTGGCCAGCATGACTCAGGGGATGAGCGTTGACTTATGAACCAGGAGGTCACGGTTTGATTCCTGGTCAGGGCATATATCTGGGTTGCAGGCTCAATTCCCAGTGGTGGGCTTGCAGGAGGCAGCCGATCAATGATTCTCTCTCATCATTGATGTTTCTATGTCTTTTGCTCTCTCCCTTCCTCTCTGAAATCAATAAAACAATATTTTAAAAAATCCTACTTATCACTTAGGAGAAAGGGGGGACAAGCCCTGACACTGAGGGTCCTGTCATACATAGGTCCCTCCTTGGACGTTCCTCCACAGATAAGGAAGAGTAGCCTGATCCATGCTATGTGGAGAGCACATTCCGGTTTTGCTTTACTGCCCCCCTTTTTAGACCTGCTCTGACAGTGCCTCATTCTATTTTTATATTAGACACTGTTTCTCTTCTTTTATTGCCAGATGCCCTTATACTGTTGCTCACCAAATCCTCCAGCAACAGCTGTTCCGCCAGCCCACTCTTGGCTGCAAGCTGATCTAATGTGCTTCACAGTTAGTAAGAGTACCCAAGTATATCAAGAGCCTGGAGCATGAGGGGGAGAGTGCATGTGTTCTGCATTTTGCGTAAGCATCCTGGGCATTGTCTCTAGCATATTCAGTTCCTGATGACTCCTCATTGCCTGGATATAATGGCAGATCAAACACAGGGAGCCTGAAGTGCCTGGCATCACATACAGAGCTTCTACTTTCTGAAATAAGGCAATAGGAAAAGATCAAGGAAAATATACTGGCTCTGAGGTATACCTAAAGTCCTGCTATCACTCCTTCTCTTTTCCACCTGGGCCAAAACGTAGAGCTACTAGTCTTCCGCTTTTCCCAAGTAGGTTCTCTGTTGCCCCTCTTCTCCCGTTCTTTACTTGGGTTAGATTTATTCTGTTCCTAAGCAGTCTTCATTTAAGGACCCATTGGTCATGTTGCAGGTCAAGTGCCAGGATAGCAGATGACAGTGTTCTCTGTCTTCAAATCCAGGACCGTCTACACTTAGGAGGAGTGCAGTAAATTCTTATCTGGAACAGACATTAGGTTTGTTCTTCAGGAGTTACAAATGGAAAATGTAAATATGTGAAATATATAAGACTTTGGGATATAATGCTTTCCCCTCCTAAATTATTCTTCCTGACCTCGTCCCCACCTTCTTGTTCTCAACTCTAACTCATTCAAACAGGAGACTAGGCTCTCCCGTTTTCATTCTTCCCAGAAGTTCAAGAGACCCTGTTCCTGCCAGTGAAGGAACAGCTTGTGGTGTTGCTCAGCTCTCTCTTTTCTCAGCTGTGGGCTGGATGTCCCTGCCCTCTTCCCACGCCCAAGGCCATACCCTGGAGGGCCTGGAGACCTGCCTCACCAAGGTCTGTGAGGCTACTGCTCTTAGAGATTCACAGCCCTTGTGACTTAGGATTGCTTTTTAGTAGAATGATGAAGAAACTGGCCTGGGCTGAAAGTAGTGCCTTTAGGGTCCCTTTAGTCAATGAGCAAGACACTTCAAAAGCCACCTTTAGATGCCATAGCACTTAACCTCCACGCCCCAGCTTCAGTTCATCCTGGTGTTCAGTCTAACCCTGGAAACTATACCAACTTGTGTCTCCTTTCAAGAGATGCCCTCAAAAGCCATGGCTTCCAGAGGACTGATTCACAGAGATCTTAAGCGTTTTTGATCCCCTAAAATCTGCTGGCATGCTTTAAGCTTGGCTCCAGCGGTTGCTTTTGATCATAGGTCAAAACCTTTCTCTTCAAATATAGCATCTTCGTTTTCTTAACCCTGCTTCCATCACTGTCACAACCCATTCTTCCTGATGGAGCAAGGACTATGTCAGGAGATGGGAGGAGTGAGCATGCTGCTGCGGTGTTTGTTCTCGGTCTGGCGCTGTTTCCTCAGAGCTCTGTCCAGCATCTTTTCTTTGGGTGGGCTTATAAGGCAAATGACAGAAATCCTCAGAGGGATATGTGTTCCCATCATCTTTGTACCAAAGATATTCTTACAACCATACATGTTCTTAGTGTTTGGCTTTAATAAATACTCAAATCACATAAATTTTGTAAGAAGGTCAGAGAAAAGTGACAGCAAAAGTTCCAAGACAAAGAGAACTCAGGTAACTCCTGGGTAACCTTTTCACATTAAGGGAACATAGGATGTCAGAGGCTATGATAGCATGGTCCAGAGAGGCACAGGGATGGGGACCACAGACCAAGGGGGCTGATGGTAGACCGTGACTCTTTAATTGAGGTGCCCGGAATAGCTTGATACAGTACCACGTGTTCCCTGCACCCCTCTCTGAATCTCCTCAATACCCTACTCTTTACTATGTTCCCCACAGTGTGGGAGAGCTGGACGCTGTCTCATCCCCGTATTGTTTCCCATGGTGTGAAGACCATGCTCTTCTCCCTGGCTGTAGGGACTGCCTTTTTTCTTACTGTGTCTACCATGGCATTGGGTAGGAGGTAATGAAGAGGGCCAGTTAGTGAGCCAAACTCAGAGTCTGAGCTATTAGGCGAGACTGGGACATGCTAGGGAGGTTCGGTGTCTGGGTTGGCTAGAGTCTAGCCCAGCCATGGGCAAACTACGGCCCGCGGGCTGGATCCGGCCCATTTGAAATGAATAAAACTAAAAAAAAAAAGAGACCATACCCTTTTATGTAATGATGTTTACTTTGAATTTATATTAGTTCACACAAACACTCCATCCATGCTTTTGTTCCGGCCCTCCGGTCCAGTTTAAGAACCCATTGTGGCCCTCGAGTCAAAAAGTTTTCCCACCCCTGGCTAGCCCCAGAGCTTGGGTAGGATGAGGATTGTAGATGAGACCCACAGTAAGCTTGAGGAAATGGGCAAGGATTGGCCTCAGCTTGAAAGACCTGGACCTCCCTGGCCTGATGTTCTCCACAGCACATTCCAGAAGCGGGAAGATTAGGAAGGTGAGGTTGAAGGTCAGGGATGCCAGTTAACATACAGCTTATGAGGCAGAACGGGCCTCCCTGCCCTATTTTTCTCAGGAGTGGGGAGTGGGGCATTTCCCAAATCTGACTTCTGGCCTCTGCTTCTCCAGCAGCAGCACATCACCACCCTTGTGGCTTCTTTCTTCTGTTTTGTAGACCTGGACCTCTCCCCCAGTTCTCTCAACGCCTGTCATTTCTTTCTCCAGTTCTATCATGCCTGTGACCAGCCAGGCATTGTGGTTTTCTGCATCATGGACTACGATGTGCTACAGTTTTGTGATTTCCTGGGCTCCTTAATGTCCGTGTGGGTCACTGTCATTGCCATGGCTCGTTTACAGCCTGTGGTCAAGCAGGTCAGTCCAGAATGGGCCCTGGGGGACAATCATAGCTAAAGTCGACTTGAAACTCATTCCCAGCCTCTCCCTGAGGTCATTGCCAAGTGCCTCTCTCCATCCTGGCCCAGCCTCTAGAGTCCTGTTTCTCTAGGTGCTGTATTTGCTGGGGGCTATGCTGCTGTCCATGGCTCTGCAGCTTGACCGGCATGGACTCTGGAACCTGCTTGGACCCAGTCTCTTCGCCCTGGGGATCTTGGCTACAGCCTGGGTAAGGGTGGGGAGAGCTGTGGGTGGGGCATCCTAGCAGGACTGGGTTCAGGGCCCTGGGTACCTGGTCCCCAATTTAAGGTGGGCTAAGACCCTTTCACCATCACTATTGTGCTCATGGTGCCCATCCTAGTTTTAGGTACCTTCCTGTCACAACCGTGGCTCAGGGGAAGCCGGAGAGTGACCGGCTCTGGCTTGGGTTCCAGGGCCTCCCATTCCTGAGCCCCACTTCTCTGCCTCCTCCAGACAGTACGCAGCGTCCGCCGCCGGCACTGCTATCCACCCACATGGCGCCGCTGGCTTTTCTACCTGTGCCCTGGCAGCCTTATTGCAGGCAGTGCCATCCTACTCTATGCTTTTGTGGAGACACGAGACAACTACTTCTACATTCACAGCATTTGGCATATGCTCATCGCTGGCAGTGTGGGCTTCTTGCTGCCCCCTCGTGCCAAGACTGACCACCGGGTTCCATCTGGAGCTCGGGCCCGGGGCTGCGGCTACCAGCTGTGCATCAATGAGCAGGAGGAGCTGGGCCTTGTGGGCCCAGGAGGGGCCCCTGTCAGCAGTATCTGTACCAGCTGAGAGAGGCTTTGAGTCTGGCCTTTGGAACATGAACCGTTCCCAGGGCACAAAGAGCCCTTCCTGGGTTTTTCCAGGCAGTGCGTGCGGAGCTTTCCCAGGGATGAGAGACAAGTTGTGTTTCTTGAGGACTTGGTGTCTTCCTTAACGTGGAACTCTTCCAGGGACCTGGCACACTTCCTGAAGATTGGAGCCATCCTGCATCCATTGAGTCTTTCAGGGCTGTAGCCTGTGCAGGGCCTCAGAGCCCCTAAGGACCAGCAGTCCCTCCTAGGGCGTGGAGCCCCTCCCAGGGATACGGAGCCCTCCTGAGGACATGGATTCCTTCCTGGGGAGACAAAGCCCTCCCAGGACATGGCATCATTCCTGAGGAAGTGGAGTCCATTTTGGGGAAACGGAGTCGCCAGATCTTCCAGCAGCTCAGCAACTCTGGCCTCAGGCCTCCTTCCCAGAAGCAGCATCTGTGCTGGGCTGTGCTGGGAGGGGACATGCAGGACAGATGGGACTGGGACTAGGGCTGGTATCTTGAGTTGATGCAGGTGGAGTCTGGTGTGTCTCCAATGAAGTATTTGCTGGTTCTGTGCTGCCTTTTTTTCTGGGGCCAAATGTGTGGGGAGGGGAGGGAAAGAGGGACCCTGAGGAGGTCAGCATGGGTGATGGGAGCCCAGCTGAATGAACTGCTGGAGCTACTGTCTGAAGCTTCAGTCCTATTGTGCCAGGCTGCACAGCTGGGAAAAGGGAGTTGTGAGTGGGTGAGTCTGTGTGTGAATGAGTGAGTCTTTGTGTGTGTGTGTTGAGTGTGTGGTACCCACACTCAACAAGGGAGGAAGCCGAGGTCCCAGAAAATTGGACTAGCGGGTACAAAGCTCAGATGGGAAGGAATTGTCACAAAAATGTAACTTCTGTTTTGAGCCCCATTTTGCCTGAGTGCCAGAAGGATCATATTTTGTCAATTTGGAATTTCTTCTCTTTCCCCAAGAGTCACAGCTGCGTCCCAAGGGTTTATGTGGTGCAAAGATGTTGGGAGCATGTTCTTTCTGGTCACCTCAGTCTATAGGCACCTACCCCCTGAGATTTACATCCTTCCAGCCGGCCGTCAGTCAGCAGAGCAGGTAGGTCATGCCGGAGCAGATTTCTGGTCCTATCTGTGTAACCCCTTGTAGTCCTGAGGCTCTCTACCACTTCTGTGCCACATGCAAAGACAGACCTTGGCTACCCAGACACACCTTGAAGCCACTTAAAATGTAAGTGGAAGTAGCATGCTACTTCTGAGCGGAAGCTTGAAGAGTCAGTGCAGGCTTTGTCATTTTCTCTTTTCCTATTGTCATGGTGACCAGCAATGTCCCAGTAGTTGCTCTATTACTCTGAGTCCCAGAGGGGTGAAGATGATGATAGAACAGACCCCTCCCCAGCCAACCTCTAATGGGCCTGTAGCATGAGCGAGAAATAACTCTTTGTGGTCCTAAGCCACTGAAATTTTGAAGTTATCACCATATTATAACCTAGACTCTCCTGCCGAATAGAGGTTGAGAACAGGAGAAGCGGGACATTTTCCTGCAGAACAGATTCCCCCCCAGCAGAGCTATGGCAGCAGCTTTTACCTCTGCATTTCTCAGGCTGTAAATGATGGGGTTCAGTGAGGGTGTCACGACCCCATAGAACAATGCAATAATCTTATCCAAGTCAGGGTCCTTGGCCTTGGGCTTAAAGTACATGAAGGATATAGTCCCATAGAAAACCACTACCACTGTGAGGTGGGCAGAGCAGGTGGAGAAGGCTTTGCCCCGACCTGCAGCAGAGGGCACCCTAAGGATGGCATTAAGGATGAAAATGTACGACATGCAGATGAGCAGGAGCGGGGCCAGTGACAGGACAGCTGTGGCCACCATTAAAAGCAGTGCATTGAGAGAGATGTCCCCACAGGCCAGTTTCAGCACTGCCAAGATCTCACAGAAGAAGTGGTTAATGACATGGTGGCCACAGAACGGGAGGCTCCAGGTGACAATGGACTGCAGCAATGAGTTGACAAAGCCCGTTCCCCAGCTCAGCGCTGCCATCTGCACGCACGTCTGCCCACTCATGAGTTCTGGGTACCTAAGCGGCTGGCAGATAGCCACATAACGGTCATATGCCATCACGGCCAAGAGCACGCACTCCGTGGAGCCCAGTGCCAGGGTCAGGTACATCTGCAGGGCACAGCCAGGGAAGGAGATGGTCCTTTGGGCTTCCAGGAAGTTGACCAGCATGAAAGGCACGAAGGAGGATGTGCCACAGATGTCCAAGAGAGAGAGGTTGCTGAGAAAGAAGTACATGGGGCTGTGCAGGCGGGTGTCCAGCATGTTCAGCCCAATGAGGAGGGCATTCCCCAGCACGTTCACAGAGTAGATGCCCAGGCAGAGCACAAACAGGACCATCTCTATGTTATGGTGGCCGTGTAGGCCCAGCAGGACATATTCTGTCACGGCTGTCTCGTTGGCCCCAGCCATCTCATTTTCCCTCCTTTCAAATCTGGGCCACACAGATGTTGGGAAAAGCTCTGGCTGGCCTGGGAGCCAGGCAACCGGAATACGTGCCCTGGGGCAGGTCAGCCCCACCTCTGGAATTTAGTTTCACCATCTGTATACTGAGAGACTTAGACTGAAGGTCTACAAGCTGGCCGCCTCGGCTCTGCAGTTCTGACTCAACTCAGGGGAGATGAGATACATTCTGGTCCCTTCAGCTCTTTTGTGGTTCCCCCCAGGGTGGGCTCGGAGACAGTGGAGTAGGATTCATGTTTGACAAGCTCCGCTAGAATTTAGAGTTCTTGGCTGTTAACAGGAAACTCTAGGTCAGTGGTTCTCAACCTTCCTAATGCCGTGACCCTTTAATACAGTTCCTCATGTTGTGGTGACCCCCAACCATAAAATTATTTTCGTTGCTACTTCATAACTGTAATGTTGCTACTGTTATGAATCGTAATGTAAATATCTGATATGCAGGATGTATTTAGGCGACCCCTGTGAAAGGGTCGTTTGACCCCCAAAGGGGTCGTGACCCACAGGTTAAGAACCGCTGCTCTAGGTCATGACTTCGTATGGCTGAGTCATGCACATCGTTTCAGATTCATTCATTGGTGAATATTTTTGAAAGCTACTCTGTGCTAGGTATTGTTTAGGTGCTGGGGCCATAGCAGTAAGAAAATAAGTGGACAGAAAGATGCCACACCTGTCACGAGGGCTCCCTCTTCCCTGGACGAGGGGAGATGAGCTCTGTAAGGCAGGCGGGTGCTGGATGGTGCTCACCAAATGTTCCTTTTGGCCCTTAAGGGTTGAACATTTCCACTCACAGGGTGTGTAGCCTGGTTTCTGGTCATCACTCCTTAAGGAATCATAGACCCTCTGCTGATTTTTGAAAGAACAGCATATCCCGGTAGAGCCACTGGCCACAGGATTTAATCCAAGTAGCTCCTCCTTGACCTCCATATTGCTTTTTAGGATAGACGGGACTGGCACGGACGCCACACAGGAGGGAAGACCCGGCTCTCATCTCGCCGAATGGTCAGTCACTGACTAGTTTATACAGGGAGGGCGAGCAGAGGCTGCAGTCTTCGCCCAGGCGCTTTCATTGCTGTCCTGGCAGGACTCCCCGCCTCCTTGGGAAATGCCAGTGTCAGGTATTCACAGGAGGAAGCGGAAATGTCCCCAAGGCAGTCTTGTTAAACAGCAAAGCTGCCGTAGGGCCAGGTGGCCTCTGGTCTAAAGGAGAAATAGAAGCTGAGTGTGACTTTCAGTCAGAAGATAGAATCACCTCCAGCCCCTTCCCTCTGGGGTTGACAGTAAGGCCAGTGTCCTGGGACAGCATTGGAGCCCTGCCTGTCCTTCAGGGATGGATTTGCCCCCCTTTCTCCCTCCTTAACTGCATCTGTGTGTAGGCACAAAGGGGCTCAGCCTCTACTTAGCAGACTTTGTTTTTTCCCAGTGCTTTGCCCAAGAATTTTCCTTTTGTAGGCATGCCCTCCCTCCCTTCCCCAGTGGGGGCATTCCCGCTCATTCCTCAGAGCCCAGCTTAATCGCTCCTTTCTTCTCCCTCCTGCTCCCTGCAGTCACCTGCTCTCTTCTGATGCTTTTAGCCCTTCGCCATCCCTCTGTGTTCATGGTGTGCTCTGTACTGTCTCCTCTACTGCACTCGTGAGCAGGACTCTGTCTCCTTCCTCTCAGCACTTCCTACAGCGAGTACTGCCAAGAGCAGTCACTGAACAGATAATCAAGATTCAAAAAACTTAGTTTTGCATCCAGCATCAGCACTAACTGGCTGTGTGATAGTGATCAAGTCACTTGACCTCTCTGAGACTCCGTTTCCTTTTGAGAAATGGGGATGCTGTGTAGCTCAGAGGAAACATGCATGTAAAGGTGCAGGGAGCTGCCCAGCACTAGCAAGTTGTTACTGAGGCTCCAGATCAAAGGATTTGTCTTCAGCCATAAGTACCTGTTGGGCTAGACACCTCTGGGAATGATGACCAGAAATCAGGCTTACACACCCTGTAGAGTGGAAATGTTCAACCTTTAGGTCAGTGTCTGTCATGACCCCCTCTTTCCCCAGAGCCTGCGCTGGTTTCCTTATTCCTCCATCCTGAATAAGGGTGATATTAAGCGAATTTCTCATGCTACACCCCCATTGTAGGTTTCCAGGGGGCTCTGTTCCATGTCGTCTTCCTCAGAGACCTGGCTGATGGAGGCTCCACTATCAGAAGCATCACCAGTTGGTATGGCTTGCGAAGAAAACACTAGAGCAGCGGTTCTCAACCTGTGGGCCGCGACCCCTTTGGGGGTCGAATGACCCTTTTACAGGGGCCGCCTAAGACCATCAGAAAGCACATATATAATTACATATTGTTTTTGTGATTAATCACTATGCTTTAATTATGTTCAATTTGTAACAATGAGATTGGGGGTCACCACAACATGAAGAACTGTATTGAAGGGTTGCGGCATTAGGAAGGTTGAGAACCACTGCACTAGAGCATCTCATACCAGCAGTTAAATGCTCTGACCCAGTAGAGGTGTGTTTCACATCCACCCACAATCCACTGGCCCTGTGTAATCCTACCACAGGCTCAGGAAGAGGAGAACTGGAAATATAGCTGAGTGTTTGGGTATGATGACTTCCATAATACACAGAAAAACACTGCATGTATCAGCCAGTGCCTCACTCTGTCATGCCCTGGAAAATCAGGTTCACAGAGAGATAGGAGTGTCTCTGAGATAGTTGTCTAATTCCACTCACCATATTCATCCCCTGAGAGACAGGGTGATGCCATGAACTGGGACTGGGAGTGAGGGAACTGGGTTGATTCTTGCCTTTCTTCTGGTTCTGTTCTATGACCTTGGTCAGATTTCTCCCTTGGTGAAATGGAGCCATTCACTTAGGCAGTCTCTGGTACTCTGTAACCTCCAAACATTTCCTCACATCCTTCCATCAACTTCCCAATCATGAAGTCTAACAGACCCAGGGTTATTTTTCAAGGTCAATATCAATTTCATTAGCTGATAAATTTCATACTTACTTTAGCTTCAAAAATTATTTTAAAAGAAAGGTGAATGACTCAGCAAGATGAAAGCTTGGTTTTCAGTTTCCCTGACACGCGGGATCTCAGATTCCTGCATCACTTCCTCCTTGCTGTATAGCAGAGCAGGTGAGCATGGGGTTTGGAGTCAGACTGACCAGGACCCAAATCCCAGGTCCCACTCGCTAACAGTTCCCTCAGCCCTACCTTCCTTACCTGTAATGCAGAGATAAGAACAGTATTTCCTTGTGAGGTTATTGTGAGGATCCAGTGAGATGATGCATGCGAAGCTCTCAGCTCAGAGCCTGATGCATGGTAAGGAATCAATAAGTGGTAGCTGATATTCTTAGTATTATGTCCTCTTTCCCAAGCAGATATTCTGATTTTTACATGTTTAAAAAAGATTTACTGAGAGGAGTCAGCATGTTACGGACTCTTCTTACCTCCTCCCTGTTGGCCCAGTGGCATTAGTGCATGCAGGTAACTGGAGTGGGCTGCCAGGTGAGCTGGCCCGAGAGCAGAGCTGGGATGTGCCGAGTTCATTACCAGCAGACACACTTGTGCAGGGATGGGCCAGGGCCGTGCCCACGAGGACCAGCCTCCTGATACCTGCCACATAGACAACTTGTCTGCTCCCTGCCTTCAGGGACTTCGCAGTCCCTGCCCAATTTAAAGTTCAAACCCTGCAACTACACAAGTCTGCAGGTTTGGCAGCTGTGGGGCTTCAGAGACTCCAGGCTCTGTGTGCTGTCCCTGGGAGGGGGTTGGAGCTGGCACAAGAGTGACACTGGACAGAGAATCTGAAGACTGGGTCTCATTGCAGTCCTGCCTTTTTGGGTCTGAGGCTTGGGGACCATGGCTCCCCTGGCCTGGACCTGGGCATACTAGTCTGTGAAATGGCTGTCATCTTCCAGGATTGTTGTAAGGACCTGGATTCATGGAAGTGTAAGAAAAGCAAATTGCTGTATGGGGTATGAGATCCCAAGCACTTGTGAGGGACCATTAAGTCCGGGATTTAGCCAGGAGCATGAGGTCTACGGGTTTCTCTCCCCTTTCCCTTCTCAATCCCTTCTCTTTCCTTTTCTGTTTCCTTCCCACAATAAAAAATAAGTTGACACAGTTTAGGGGCTAAAAAACAGTTTTAAGTAAAGCAGCAGCTGATGCAAAATTTTCCATTGTACTATGATTTGGCTTTTGGGATTTTTATCAAGAATACAGGTGAAAATTGTGACCACTTAGTTTTTTTCTTTTAAAGTTATTTTTAAAACATTTTATTGAATTTATTTGGGTGACATTGATTAATAAAATTATATAGGTTTGGACTCCGCCAGGATTTATTTAAACATTCTTCTATGATTGGACATTGAGATTCTTACAATTTTTTGTTACTATAAACAATCCCATGATGAATATTCTTGTATATAATTCTTTGTGCCTGTAATTATCTTCTTAGACTTATTCCTAGAAGTAGAGGTGTTGGTCAAAGGGTCTGGAAGTTTTTAAGTCTCTTGATTCATACTCCAACTTACTCTGCAGGAAATTCATATCAGTTTATTCCCATTCCCACCAACAGTATATGGCATTACCTACTTCAGTGCACTTTAATTAACAATAGACATTTTAAAAATTCTTTGCCAGTTTCATGGATGGAGAATTGTATATAATCAGTGGCCTTTCTAACTGTAAATGTGATTTAAAACCCCCAATGCCCACAGGATGAAGTCCGAGCTCCTATAGTGGCACCGAAGGCCCAGCAGAACGTCTTGGCTGGCAACCTTCACCCTGGCTTGGTTGAGAGGGTTGGGGTGCAGGGAGTGGGGTGCTTCTCTCCTCGGTGCCTCTGTTCTGACCAACAGAAGCAGAAAGAGGGACGGAGGGGAACGAGGACTCAAGCAAGGCCTGTGCTTACCTGCTTGGAGGCCAAGACCAGCTGTCCCGTCATAC